AGTGTCTGTTATATTAAATACCCCAAACACATTGCAGAGAACAGGCTCATTGGGAATGAGAAGCAAATGGCCTTCACTGCGAAACTCTGTGTTGAGGGCAATACTTCCCTGTTGTTCCTCGCTACTACTTAGGCACTGGCTGATGTCATTTCACGTAACTCCCTCTCGCACTCGATCAATGCTCGTCTTTCTCCTCTGTGTCACTGCTGCAGATCCCGGCAGTGTGATTGCAGAATGGGAGAACACATATTGGCACGTCCACACGGATATAACTGCACACCTTAACATCCTCCCTAGAGAGGGTTGGGTATTAGAACCATCTCTGTGGTCCTGTACAGCTCTAATGCACTAAGAGCATTTTTTTGAAAATCCTCTTCTCTGATTTTGTCTTCCGTCATCATTCAATACTCTAATTGATAGACTGTGACTTTGATGTGAAGCACAATGTCTTTAGAAGGGGAAATCCATGACAAAATCTCTGCGCATCCCATTAAAAGGTGATGGCCTAGGCATTGAAGAATCAGTCATCAATCCACTCTTCTTCTAGTCTCTTTATGTGTCATTCTGCCTCATAAGCATGGTAAAATACAACATGGAAGAGGCAGTATGAAAAGCTGAAACACCCCAGGACAAAGGGGCCCTTCCTTTCCAAGCTTGTTGTGAGCAAGCTGCCCTGGGGCGAATTGCTGGCATGGTCAAGGACACATGTGGCTCTGGAGCAGTAGTGAGTGGGTCTCCCCAAAGTCTGAAAGGTCCATTTGCCAAACAGGAAGAGCCCAAAGTAGCACAGCACCTTCACAACATGCTGTCTGCAGTGCAAAGCAGACAACCACTTCTTCTTTTTTTTTTTTTTTTTCTGAAACAAAGAAGATGAGCGTGAAAAGCAAAGGGTTTATTTTCCTACTACCACCCATGAAAAATTTCCCTAATATTATCCAGGAGCCTCATCTTCCTTATCTCCAATAAAACTTTGTGGATGTGACACATTAAGATGCAGTGAACACAGATATGATGAACATAATACACTTCTCTATCGAGATACCCAGGATGTTCTGCGATAGATTTCCCTGGTATTTTATCCAATTCAAAGCACAGCATTTGGGCATTGGTATTCCAGAGTCTTTTTCTTACAAGCTTTCATCTCGATGTGCCTTTCAGTGCTATTTGCACTGTATTATTATCTCATACCCCAAAAGATGCAGCTGCAATACAACAGTCTGTGTACCAGATTGATTTAAACAGCGGAGACCTTTCTCCACTGTTTAAAATCCTGACATTGAGCCTCCTCTTTCAGGGGATTAATACATGACCTAGTCCACCTGGATGGAAACTAATTGATGTGACATTTTACAATTAATTCAGAACACTGGGCTAATACTAAGATGAATTTTAATCATGCAGATGCAACCTCTTGGTTCAGGAATTCCTGTAGTTGCAGTTTGCTGGAAGCTGTGGGAGTACGGCAGAGTGAAGTATAACTCAGTATTTGCCTTGTCTTTATGCTCTTTTCTTAGACGCTGCTAAATTAGTGGATGATATCAGAAGTAAAATACCTAGCTAGGTGAATCTTTGGTTTGATTAACTTATATATTTTACAGTTTTTTAATACAGCTATACTCATATATATTTTTATGTCCTAAAAAATACTGTAAAAATAGGCTATGTTGGAGGTGATTTGGAAGGCTGGATTAAACAAAGAAAAATGGCATGTGACCACATATTCGGCTATTAAAATATTCAACATGGTTGTTCCTTCTTTTTAAATGCAAATACAGGAACTATAAAGCATATGGTAAGGGATGTTCCATCATTTTTAAATGATGTTTTTGTTAATGTAGAGATGAATTATGCAGCTTTTCATAATTCAGAGATTAGATTTTTTTTAAATATTCAAGATGGTTGTTCCTTCTTTTTAAATGCAAATACAGGAACTATAAAGCATATGGTAAGGGATGTTCCATCATTTTTAAATGATGTTTTTGTTAATGTAGAGATGAATTATGCAGCTTTTCATAATTCAGAGATTAGATTTTTTTTTAACATAATTAAAGATATATTGTCTGGTCTTTGAGACATAGGTTCACATGTTCACTTTGACTATTTCAGAAATAAAATCAGATGGGAAGCTACCAAAATGTTTTGTGCAAGCTCTTAAATGAGAGAGTCTACTCAGGATTTGCATAATATTTTACTCGTGAAATGCAAAACTAGTCATAAATCATAATTCAATTTATAAGACAATGAAATGCATGTGTTTCTGTTCTCTTTCATGGTTCTTGGAAGTTAGTACTTTATATAGCTGGAGAAAGAGGGACTGAAAAAAGGCAGAGAATGAGCACATTAGAAGAGAGGGCAAATATCAGACAGCCGCTTCATTGGCATATTTGCTTTTTTCAGTTGGCCTGTGTTCAAATGAAATAGTGAAGCATGCATCAGATTCATCATCATTTCTTCTTTTCTTTAGGACACAGATTGTCTTTTGTATCTCAGGAGACTCAGATTGTTTTGCTGCAATTAATTCCTAGAGATTTTCTACCATTTTACTGTTATTGCAACTTATGATCCTCAACAAATCTCCCTGATGAGATAAAGAAAATTCTCCGAAGTGGACAGAATGTTGTTTATAAAACCAAACTATTCTTCATAAATTTTTATTTCAAACTAGGCAAAGGCCTCAACTATGTTGGCAGCAGCATTTTTGTAATATATGATGGTCTTAAAGTATACTTTTCAAACAGCATTCCCATAAATGTAAATTTGTTCTAGCCCTACTGTTGGTTTTGCTGTTGCACCAAAACGTCTCCATGTTTTGTGGATTACAGACAGATCAATTCTGGAAATACCCTTATAGATCTAGAAATCCTGAAATAATAACAAAATACTTCTGTGAAAATGTGTGGAATCTTTACATTTTCTATGAAAATGCATTTCATACATTTCTACTTTACATTGTATTCATAGACTGCAATAGAGCAGATGGGATGCTGCGAATCTGGGAAATCTGGGAAACAAACTGGCAGTTTGGTCCTACCTTGAGCAGTGACTATGGAAAAAAATGACACTTTTCCACCCAAAAGATGCTTCTGTTTTTACTATTATTAAATGGACTAAAGTAAGTTGTGACACCAGCTAGCACTGTAGGACTAGTGAGTTAGACAGATGTCCCATCAACAGAGTTGTCCCTGAAAGACTGCTGAAGTTGGTGGAATGTGCATATTTGATTCACTAAAAGCTACATCAGACCCTTATTTCTGAAGGCGAAAAGGAAGATGCTCAGGAGTATCTAACGACCTGGAAATCTGCTTTTATGACTCCAACTTAACAGGTCTGGATCACAATGTCCTGCTCGTATTACCACAGAAACACTTTTTGTTTTTTCAAATGGATAAGCTTTTATTTTATTTTGCAGTGGGAAACATGGCATTTTGGGGGTAGGAGGAGCTGTATAGAAATGAGCATTTTTTTTATTCCAATGATTTAGCCTTAGTTTAGAGTGCAGGACTGGAAAGAGAAATTTACTGCCTGCAAGCACTACTCCTACACAAATCTAGGCTTCAGTTTTCTAGTTCTGACCTCTGTGTCAGGTTTGATTCAAACCCTGGTGTTATTCCTGGGGTATAAATTTACGTTCACGTTTTGGTGAGTAGAACGTTATTGTGTATAACTTTATTTTCTTTTTTATCCCGTTGCTTCACATATCTGTTTCAGGGATATAACTAAGTATTCACAGAGAGAATTACAGTCATATGTGGCCAGTTCTGAGGTAATCAGTTTAATGATGTCCCTTCTTGATGACAATGCTTCTACTCATTCCAGAGAGTGATGCTAATGTGTTAGAAAAGTAAAATCTCAGCAAGCCTGGTAGAGAAAACATATTATGTGTCAATGTGTTTGCACCCTCTACTCCTCTCTTACTGTTTTTATTTTGGATTGTTGCCTCTGGTGGGTTAAATTCATACAAATTATACATGTGAAGGTAGTGTGGAAGTTAGGAGATGAGGAAGCCTGCATGTTTGGTACCTAGCCCATACTTCTACTAGTACAGAAATATTCGTTCAGTATCAGTTACATTTCTCAGGTAACAGGGCTTCTGTCGCAGACATTTCACCTTTAGGAAGATTTCTCTAATACTCAATGTCATTTTCCCTAAAGGAAAAGCACTACAGGATTTAATAGCAATAACTACAGTGAAAAACATGCAAAATGCAGTTCTGTACCTCCAGGACTGAGTAGTGATTAACAACTTCCACATTCTTCTCTAGGTATCTTATGGCATTTTATAGGAAGAACACAACTTTCTCATAAATTTGAAGAGATAGTTTAAAGAACAAGGTTGTAATTTCCTCAGAAATGCTTGAAAACCTTCCCATGCCTTATTGGGATGAATCTTCATGGTTTCAGACCTTGATTGACAATTCTTTAAAGTATTATTGTCAGAAAAAGGCAAGAAAAGCTGAAGTACTTTATCCTTTCATGACACGGATCACTTATTCTAATACTCTTAAATTTATTACTTGTTTCTGTGTGATTCAGTTTCTGGATTTTACTGATTCAGATGGAGTAAAGCGTAATGGAAAGACCTCAGTTTTTAAAAGAGATTTCCTCCTTTTAAAAGAAAAAAAGATCTTTTAGACATTATTATTTTTTGTCATGGGATGAAAACACACACAAGAAAGGTACAAGTTTAGATTTTCTAAGTTGTTGGCCAGTGCAGAACTTCCAAAGGAAACATGTTAATGAAAAGCAATTGTAGTTTAATTCTATCGCATTAAACCAATCTGCTTCCCGTACTAGCATCAAGATGCAGAGGATACATGTGTACTGAGCACTAGTATCAGCGATTGCAGCCCTCTAAATTGAAAATAATAAATGTAAAGACATCTGACATGCTTGCTCTTTGGTATATAATAACAAAATTGGGGTAAAATCACTTTTCTTAATTCGTTTGCATCATGTCAACACTTGTTTAGAATTATATTAATACGGTAAGTGAAGCACCCCCTGTTGTGCCACATGAACAGTAAAAATTCTGCGAATTGCTATCTTGCATATGTATTATGTTTTGCACTTGATATTGATAAGGTGCTATTTAATCTCTCAGCTAGGTCAAGGGCAGATTCCAGTGTTGTCACTGCTTTTGTTGCGAAGAACCTCCGTTCCCTAAGAATTACGGCTTCAACCTGCAAAGGTGGGCATGAATTTGCAGAAACAGGTATTCAATGACTGCTTTGGTTTTAGGCTGTACTGCACACGTATTCTTTGTATTACAGTGAAAATAAAACACACAGCATGCACTGCCACTGTTAGTACAACATATTTTAATGGCAGTGATGATTTTTTTTCATCAGTTGCCAATGTTATAGGTCTTAGCACAGATACTGACAGGCTCAGAATTAAAACAGCAAGGAAACAGTTTATTTCAGATTAATGCAGAGGAGCTGTATTCATTTACACATTGTTTTAGGGATTATAAAAGATGCTGCTAATGCTATCTATTAATATTGAGAAGATGGGGAAAAAATGAAATGAATCTTATTTCTCAGTCTACCTAAGTAAGCAAAGAATTGCCTTCAAAACTGAAATGCATCATAGCTGACGAAAAAGACAAAAAGGCTGATTTTGCACAACTGTGTCTGAATTGCTGTAGATTTGCTGGAATGTGTCCCATTCCCTCTCAGCCCTAAAACCTTATTTACATGGAGCACCATATTAAATATACTGACTGTTATGTGTTCTTTCTGGGGTAAGGTGTCCTGGGATACTATTGCAAGGGGAGAACTTAGTTGAAAGGCGTCACTGGTTTCTATTCAGTTGCTGTTCAGCCTACTGGCATCAAGAGCTATGATGCTGGACTGTCAGATCTCTTCATGTTTGTTTATTCTTCAGCAGCCTCCTCATCTCTCAGACAGAAATTAAAAATATTAATGTGTTTCTGATAAGAGAGCTATAAGGTTTAACTCAAGGACACACGTAAAGTGCTTCAGAGGACACCTCAAAATGGCTAACATCATAAATCACTGTTTTATATTGTATTTTGTGGAGATGTAACTTGACATGATGGAGGCTTGTGGTCAGGCTTTCATTAGTAATATTACCTACACAATTTGAGGGCACCATTTCATAAACACCTAAAAGAATTGAGCCATACCCCATTTTCTTTAGTACAGCAAGCTACTCCAAGGTTGTATTTCCTCCTAAAGGATATGAATCTAGAAATATCATGACCTAGACTCTCTAAAAGAACAAATATGCAGCTTTAGCTGCACAAAAATACAAAGATTTATAGCATTTCCAATACTAATTAACACAGTCTATCTTCTAGCTATTGGCAAATTAGGGAATTAAGAATTAAGAATGCCCATTGAGCATCCAAAACTCTACAACACCAAGAGGCATTAAAGTTTAAGATGCTTGGAAAAACAGCTCAACTTCTCATAGCCAACAGCATAATAAATCAAACAGAAAGTTCAAACTTTCTAGATAAGCTGGATCTGATTAAACCCTTACACAGAAAATGAGGAAACACAGGCTCCATGCTTTCTCCATCTTTCCTTCCAGTTTGTATCTTAATGACTAAACTGTTTCAGGTTATTTATTCAGCAAAGGAGGAATTGATTTGCAACCTTTCATTTTGAGCAGTTCCATTAATTCTGTGGGACTGTTCAGGGCAACTGAGCACAGCAATTTTACGTTTAAAGATTAACAGACCTTTGCAACATTCTAATATATGTATTTTGCATGTCATGAATGCAGTTATTGCACTGGTTGCTTATAACAAATCTTGCAGTTTATTAATTCTGTGCTTCTGATTTTTTTTCACTTAATGAGATTATCAGAAAAGAACCACAATTTCATCTAAAAATGTACTTTTAGTCCTTGTGTTTGTTAAAAGGCTTAAAAAGGGAGCTGAATGAACTGTAAAGGGTTGGTTGTACTGCTTATGCTTGATAGTGAGCACAGCTTAGGGTAAGCCAGGCTTTTTTAAAGGATAGGATACAACCGTATTTTCATATTCACATATATTCGACCCTCAAGGGCCAGCTTTGCCGCTAAATTCCTAAGGTTTTATGGCTTTGACTCAAAGGATTGATACATTTTCGTTAGTAATAACAGGAAAACAGCATGATTAATGAAGTACTTGGAGAAAGGGTTTTTTCTAGTCAGCATCATCCTTTTGAAGCACCCACTCCTCCATCAGACCTACCCACGGTTTCGCAGTAACGCGGCTCACTTTACCGCTCACTGCACTGACCCCAGCCCACGGGCAGCGTGCGTCCCCCAAGCAGCACCATGACCCCATGTCCCCCCAGG